TGGGGAAAAATTATACATTTTATACATTGATTATTCTTAACTAATTTTAACTGTTTTTTTAATCAACGTAATTCGGTTATTCGTCTCTTATAATAAGGAACGGAGAGAGTATTAAAATATTAGATTACAAAAATAAATAAATAATAAATTAAAAACTATATTAAAATTTAATTTTAATGGTTTCCATGTGTACTAAATATTTTTAACATTTTTTCATAAACCGTTAAAGGTGTAAAAAAAAAAAGACGGAAAAGGAGGATCAAAGGTTGAACCGCGACAAGACATGGGCCCTGCCCGCATTTTTCGATGCTTCCGTCCAGGCTGTGTAAAGCACCAATCCACATCGATCCATCCACAGCTATCAACCCTCTCGCACCGCGTCTCTCTAAACTTTTACGCCCGAGAGAAAACACAACTGTGACTCAAATTACTCATAAATTACATTATGTATGTTTAGCCCCCCCAAAAAAAAATTACATTATGTATATTCCGTTAATGTTTATTTTAAATAATACTCCTTCCCATGCTATTTATAAATTTTAAATTTAGAAAAGTATATAATTTATTTTATAAGCTCCAATTTAAATTTGTCTTATATTTAATAACTTTTATTTTGTTTTTAATTATTTATTTTCTTTTCTTGCCTTATTCTCTCTTATTACATTTTTTTTCATATATTATTGTTCATCATATGTTTATTTATTATATGGATATATTTAAAAATAAAAATATATTTTTATTTTTAATTAATTTTAACTAATTTTTTATTATTAAATCAGTTATTTAAAACTTATACTACCTTCCATCCTTAATATTAGAGTTAGTTTATATTCAATTTGGTTGTAAATAAAAAATTTTAATCTAATTTTTCTATCATATTTGTTTATTTTTTTAAAATAATTCTTATAATAATTACAAGTATTAAAATTTTATTAAATAATAGTTCTAACTAATATATTTAATTATTAAGAATATTTTAAAAAATAATAATATATATTTATTATAAATAACTAAATTAATATTTTTTTTTAATTTATTTAAATTTCCCGTGCAATCAGACATGGTGATTTATGGAGTTAGGTGGATAGATTGAATTTCAATCATGCGTCAGGGGAGCAGCACATGGCAGGACTAAAAACGGATCAATTCATAATTGGTTGTAACAAAGCTGGGGATGAAGTACCGACTATCGAGATCCAATCTTCTCAACGCATCTCCTATTTTTTGTATTTTAATTTTAATAGATAAAAATTTTAAATAAAAAAGTTTGACAACTGATATTTTCAAAAATAAATATATTATTAAAAAATAAAAATGTAAATATTAAATTTTGAAGAGTATGGGAAAAAAAAAAGAGCATTGAATCGGGGGGATGGAAAAGGAAGGCGTGGAAAGGTGCATAAAGTGAAACCCGCGACTTTTTTTTAAAAAAAAGGCAAAACCCACAAAAAAAATCACGTGGAGGAGGGAGGGACCAGGCGGGCCCGCTGGTGGTGGCTCTGACAAACGCACTGACTTTTCGGCATTGCTTTGTGGGTCCCACTTCATTGCTTGCATCAATGCATCCACCACTCTTCTGAGTTCTGTCTCCGCTCTCTTGGACACATGTACTTGGATGCTTCTCCCATGCACTGTGTAGTCGCGTTTCATATCTACAGTAGTTGATAACCTATACGCCCCTGCGTCCTCTGAGGCCGATTCTCTAGGGTCTGGACTTAACAGCACATGTTTATATTCTCAAAAAAAATATTTTGTTTTTATAAATCCACTTTTTTATATTTTTAGAATATAATCAATAGGTCAACTCGGTAAGAATATCTCATTTTATCCACATTAAATATAAAAAAAATTTAAATGAAAATCCCACAACCGCTTCAGGTTAATTAAGGTAGGATCGGGTGTGGGTAAAAGATCAGAAGCTCAAACTTTTATAATACACTACAAATTTAAATAGTGAACATAAATATATTGCAAGACAAAAATATGAGCTCCTTATCGCGTTATTCTGCAGCATGCACCCATCTAATGTCTGTGCAGGTCTTTATATAATTATGTTAAAAAAAAAACACAGCGGAGCAGGCATTAGTTGCCAAGAATACAATTGACTATTCATTTGGATACCAACAAAGTTAAATTTGTTGCAACGGGGGGAAAAAAAAAAACGCGGATCCACGCGCACAATTGACTACTCATTTTTGTAATGGGACAAGGATTCCTTACGTGTTGTGTGCCTAAAATTAACATTTGTTGTTTCACCCTATCCGACGCAACAATCCACCAACACAGATTCAGGTCCCAGAAAGAGAAAGTGTATTTAGTGCGTGTCATAATCCGCCGGCTGCTTAATGCATCCGATATTCTTTGTTATAATAAAAAACACAAGCAAATAGCCAAAAGGAAAAAGGCCAAGTTCAAACAAAGAACAGCGGCACCAAAAAATCCCCAAAGCCGCAATCAGCCATCCTACTGGCCCAAGAAGTCGAACAGCCAGCGCTTCTATTGGGCTTGGTCTCGCAAAATACTAGGACTTCCCAAACTGGCAAACAGGTCAAGGAATGGAGAGTTGTCCATTCTTTTGCTTCGCCATGCTTTAAGACTTCATCCCTTTGAATAGTCATCTACTTAAAAGTGAGTTACGGGGTTAGATATAGTAGAAAAGATTAGTCTCTCATGATATAACGAATCAAGATCCAAATTCTCACTGAGAGAGGTGCCTACATTTAGTATTCGATAGTGTCTCGAATAGGATTGCTTCTAATAGAAAGATATTTATGCTTTAGTGTAAAAAAAAAAAAGTGAGTCACAAATCACTCCCCACAATTTCCTGTACAGTCACCATCCTGTCTGAGGCCGTTCTTGAATTTGCCGCCGTTTTCCTGAGTACGAGTTAACAGGATAAGAAACAACCACAGCTTCCTTATAAGGAACTCGCTGTCGCTGTCACTCTCTAATAACAAGACATGCACCACCAGCTGAACAATGGCAGGAGCCTTACAAGTCACGCCATGGAAGCCAGGCACGCGACCTTTACCCTCAAGAAATACACGCAACTTCTGTTCGGTGATAATATACCAACATGTAAGTAGTGGATGAAAATCCTTCGACGGTTTGCTATGAACATCGATAAGGATAACGGCCATTAGAACAGGGAAGCGACATGCTAAACTGAAGCAACGTTCATTCCTTTCTCATCACAAAATCTATTACGCGTCATGATGAATAAGTTAGCTTTTAAGACGATTGAGATAGCAGATTCTTTTTTTTCCCTTGTTCCCTTTTACTTGGGAAGGATAAGCGCCTCAACTTCATTCAACCTTCTTGCCAACTCTAAAGTCACTTTCTTCTTGAAAACTCTCTGGGTTACATTCTTTGTTAAATTGAAAACGTTATTGTATAAAAAATATAGGCATATACAAAACGTCGTAGCCTTAATAGGTAAATACATATTTTATTGTAAGTGGTTTCGGAAATCAGATGGTCCCTCAGTATTCTATTTACAAGGGGGCAGTACAAAACAACCATTATGTAATGACTGAAAATATATTAGATGCAACAAAAAGACGACACTAAAATTGACAAAAATGGCAAAATCTTCTGAATGTGGCCTCCCCTGTGACCCGAAATAGTGCCGAATACAAAGGTCAATAAGGATTGCAAATAAATTCAATGAGTTGTCACGAATAATATAGTGCATTTTGATTTCTCATGGACTCTCTCGCAGAAGAAAACTGCAGGAGCCATTGAAAAAAAATCACGTCGATTCTGACAAATTCACCGGGTTAGAATTTAAAGACTAAAAAATACTTTTTAGTCTTTTAATTTAGTTTTTTAAATTTTAAATAGTATATTTATGATTTTTTAACCCTAAATTTGTCAAGAATAAACAATGATATTGAGATTTTGAATATTGACAAAACATTCTCAAATCCATATTCTCAAATTTAGGGTTAAGGAATTAAAAATATATTTTTTTAAAATTAAAAGACTAAACTAAAATTTTGTACCAAATTAAAAGACTAAAAAAATATTTTAACTAAACTTAAATCTCACCCGACCCAAATAAACCACGGTCCAACGACGGGATGAACTGCCAATTTGCTTATTAATGAAAGGATTAATTTTAATACTACCTCCAATCCTATTTATAAGATCTTGTTTGTAAACTACTATCTCCAGTTTTTAATATAAAACCCAAATTCACTTTTTCTTTCATATTTATGTATTTTTTTTCAAGATAGTCCCTCTAATAATAATAATTCTAACTAATATGCTTGATTAGTAAGGATATTTTAGAAAATATAACACATTTATTACAAATAACTAACTTAACTTCTTTCCTTGATCTCCTCAAATTAGTCAACTAGTTCTTATAAATAAGACCGGAAGTAGTACAAAAAAAAAATCTTATAATTAAGACAAAAGGTAGTATTTCAGAAAAATGTCTGTTAAGACTCACTTTGTTGACTGTCAATGATAGAGTGACAATTCACAGGAGCACGGCCATTTGGTGGAAATGGAAAGTATAAGGAAGTGAATCCATGGACGCCAAACAGCCAAGAATAAGGAATCCAATCCAGTTTCCGTTTCCCAGGTTTTAATTCCCATCTATCCAACACACCATAAAAGAGAAAGGCGCAGCTTTGGACATGTGTCATGTGTTCGCTTGCCCGTTACACCGACAGACCAAATTGTTGGGTCACGAATCGATGGATTTTGGGTAATAATCTCCGAGTCTACGCACTACGAGAGTTGATTATGGATTTCGCCGCTCCCAACCGACTCGGGGGGTTTTGAAGTGTGCTGGCCAATCAGACACCCAGGAATGTCCGGGTCGGATTTCAGAAATATCGTCCGCTTCCCTGGCCTTGAGCCAGATAGCAGTAGATTTCTTTTCCCAGCATAATGGGGGGCCCATTTGGCCAACAGAATTTATTTTGATGAAATCCAAGGAATGGGAAGGGGAAGGAAAAGGGCAGGAAAAATTTCCGACCACCTGCTTGTTTAATAATATACCAACATATAATTAGTGCATGAAGATCCTTCGACGGTTTGCCATGACCATCCAAAACGGCCATTAGAACAGGGAAGCAGCAAGCAAAACTGAAGCAATTTAATTCCTTTCTCAATCACAAAATCTATTACACGTCATGATGAATAAGTTAGCTTTTAAGACAATTGAGATAACAGTTTCCTGATTTTTTCCATGTTCCCTTTTACTTGAGGAGTACAAATATCGAATGCGCCCATACTTCATTCAACCTTCTTGCTAGCTTTAACATCACTTTCTTCTTGAGATGAATGGGCAGCAGCCTTCGACTCATCAAACTCCAGTAACTGCATTTTTATAAAAGAATCTTAGGAAACTAGGACACTCATTTGGCATGTAGAATGAAATAGAATGGGGGAAAAGTAGGATGAAAAAAATTGTAATTTTTAAAAATGTGAAATGTTATACGTGTTCCTAGATAAAAATTAACAATAAAAAAATATTTTTTTTTCCCGAGTAATAACCACGAGGATATAATAGATATTACACATTTCAATGTCCGTGGAGTGAAAAATGATGCCTTCTCTCTAGTTTCTACCTATCACAGCCTAAACACTTGAGCAAAGCCATACTTAGCAGGCGCAGATAAATCTGACACTATCGCATCCCTATAAACTTCCAAGCCATGCCCCAAAGTCATGTTATTCCCAAATTACAGGATGTAGAGCGCTTAATAAGTTGGACTTATTGGAAGTCATCAAAACAGGCAAGATATCCCTTGAATGGAGCAAGCTAGTTTTAACAAAGCCAGTCTAAAGCAATACACTCACTTTTTCCGTAGCAACGTTGAAAACTCTCTGGGTTACATTCTTTGCTAAATTGAAAACGTTATTGTATGAAAAATATAAGCATATATAAAGCGTCGTAGCCTTGATATGTAAATACATACTTTCTTGGTAGTGGTTTCGGTAATCAGATGGTCCCTCAGTATTCTATTTATAAGGGGGTAATACAAAGCAAACATCATGTAATGACTCAAATATAGTAGATGCAACAAAAAGACGACACTAAAATTGATAAGAGAAGATTGGCCAAAAATTTTTTGATAAGAGACAACAGGCAATATAAGAGTGTGAAAGAAACCTGTTTGACATCGCCATTCCATATGCAATGAGCAGCCAAACATCCAATTACGGCCGGAACAATATACAAAAGAGCCGGCTGAAATGACAGTGCAAGAGAAAATGTCAACAGCGACAATTTGCCTTAACAGGATTTGCATGATATTTCATGCACTCAGCCGGCCATATAAATAGTAGCTAATTTAACAACACACTTCTGTCTCCCCAAATACATTAACAGAAAAAGCATAAAATAGCCTTCCCCCGCCGGGGGGGGGGGAGATTGGTTACCTGGGCAGCCTGAAACCAGTTCATTACAATAATTGTAAGCACCAAACCAAGAGTGTATCCCACAAAAGCACTCTTGAAATACTGTGGCTGTTTTCCTCTAGACACGTCAAACCTCAAGGCCAGTGCTACAAAAATCCCTGAAGAGAAAAGTATGATGAAAGCCAAGGTGAGGTTGCAAGGAAGTGCTTCAAATCTGGAAATGCCTGAGGACTTCAAGACTTGAAATTCTAGAAATACGGTAAATGGGGGAAGGAATACTGGAGAATAAAAGCCCACATCTAACAGAAAACAAGAAAGATGAACAGTATAAGCTTGTGATAATCCTAATCAAGCAGCTTAATCTATTTTGGTGATACGGACGAGAGGTTAACTGATGGAGATGAGGATTCAGAGCAGATTTACAAATAATTTCCTGGGGCACATAACAGAATTTATGGGAAGGAAAACGGTGTAGGAAAGAGAAATTCCAGTGGATAAGAGAATTCAACCCAAGGTTCCCGGCTGTGAGGGAAAGAAGTGGCATATGAGTAGGGAGTAGGTGCAGTTAGGGGTATGTTTAGTCTCTTGCAACTTGCTGGGTCGACAAAATCTTCTTTTTCGTCCAGAAAGAGTTGAGTTCTGTCTTTTGGAAATTGAATGGTGAGGAGAGTTCTGGCCTCTCGAATGTCAGGTTGGCGATGGAGGAACATCTTCTTTCTTCATCATTTTCTCGTTCTGTTTCAGTGTGTTTGAATGTATTGGGTGCACTTTCTTTTGTATCTGGCGGAATATATCATCTATTGAGTTCTAGTACAGTAACAAGCTTCTTTTCCTTTGGGGAGAAGAGTAATATATTTAATATCAATTCAGGGTTGGATATCTACTATTGTGCTTGGGTTCTATCAATAAAATTCAATGAAAAAGCAGAACAATAATCATTAAAAAAAAAAATTTGTTGACAGATTAAACATATAGTCAAAAATGGTGACAACAACCAAGAAATACATTACGACCAGAGTGAACATGCCTCTCCAGCTTAACTTAACAAAAGAAACGACCCCTCTTGAGCAATTTATACGGTGATCAAGAATTTTTTAACAGTAAAAAAATGAATTATTCCGGATTAAATGCTGTCAGTCATGAAGCTTAACTTCTCAGGGTTATATAAATGGAAAAAAGTCAGATGCACGGGACCATCTCAAAAATGGTCTCTTCTAGATTGACATTGGGTTAGAGACTTCTGGTCAGGAGCAGGGTGACCAAAAAAAAAAAAAAAATTGAAATAAAGGATTCAGCCTACCAGGAATAACAATATCACCAAGTCCAAGCATTGAAAACGGTCTTGCAGAATCCGATGTTGGAAACAAAAGCTGCGAATCAATTTGAGTAATTAATATACTGAAAAAAACTATATAGCCACCAGATTATTTATTTCCAATGATCGAAGTATGTGCAGTGTGAATATTCACATCCCAGAATGGAAATACACAAGCCTCACATTTTCATTTAGCTAAGATTCTAACCTTTATTGGAGCATCAAATGATTTCGCAACGCTAACCATAACTGGAGTGAAGAAAACCCAAAAAATGTCATATACGAACAGTCCAGCCTGCAAATGATTAGTGAAAAAAGACCATATCAACAAAGAGTAACGAGTGACAAGTTGAATTGCATAATTAGCAGTTGGCAACAAAAACCAAACTAGACGGGGTGGCATGAAAAGTATCATTTGAATTCAAAGAAACCTATGATCCCTACAGTGAACACAAAAGTCAAAAGAAATGAGAAGACATGTAGGGGAGAAAGACCGCCTGACTGATAAATATTTGTCTTTTCATCTATTTTATTTTTTTTAATAAAATTGACTAAAACTTAACTTGGATAAAAGAATATGACCCAGCCCGCCAGCAACGATAGTTTCTTAGATGAATAAAACATAGTCCGGCGTGCCCGTGTTTCATCCAGCAATTACCATACATACATATATATTTATGCATATAAACCTTCAAGCACCATCACCAAACAAAGTCAGAACAGAAGAACTTACTAAGAGGATAGCACCAGTTTTGAAAGACCCAAGAGAAAGCATTTCAATTCCCTGCAAATATTAAGAATGGATTTATTGATTCATTCAACAGTTTGCTACAGTCTGCATAATCACAATATAAACACAAAACATTTCACATCATAACCAATAAAATAGTAAAACAGTTCGTTATTCTTTTCCAAGAACAGATTTTACACAGCATACCACCACAATTATAATGCAGTGAAGTATCCGGGAAGAATAAGATAATTTTGAGCACATTTGGTAAATGATGCGTGGCATCAATGAAATGGCACCCAGAAAAATAAAGTTAAAGTAAAAAATTCTATCATATATAAAGTTTAAGTGGCAAACCTGAATACAGAAGGCCAGACCTAATATATTATTTGCCAGCCAATGCTTCCTCAAAGCATACCATGCACAGAAAAAGGTCCCGGGGACTGCAGCAACCATCTGTGACCTTGTAAACTCAATCTCCAAAGCTGTGATAGAAAGGTGTGAGGATAAATATCATTCTGCATAATACAAGCCAGTTAAAGCCGACTAGCTCAAAGTCAAACTGCCAAAAGCAATAAGGCGCCAAAAAGTACACTGAAAAATGGAAGATTCTTTTAACAACGAAAGAGAGTGTTAACAACCTTGTTGGCAAACGAATTAGTTAATCTGCAGACACAGGTCCGGCGGTCTCTATTAAAATTTAGACGCCAGTTATATATACAATAACAAATTGAAAAATAAAGTCTCTACTTCACAGTCTTTCAATGCAAAAGTGCTTGCCTCTGACTACTTTTCAAATAAATTCAGTTATTCAAATTAAAGCGTGATATTATATTGGCAATTAGCTAGGAAGAAACCAAAAAATTCATTCCTTCTGCAAGTATATCTAAACAGCAATCATTCATCCACGACTATGTCCACACACGGATACAATGAACACTCAAGGTTAGGAACATCCATAATTCATGGCAAGAAGCTGAAATGAAGTAGCAATAAACAAAACTTGCAACAGCTTAAGATGACATCATCGATTATCTAACTGTTTCATGCAAAACATAAACATAGAATTCTCATTCCCCTGTTCATTAAAAGGAAAAGATTCTCAGCAATATGATCAAGGTGACAAGCTTTTCACATACAGCGAAAATATGGAAAATGCCAGACAATAGCATCCTCATTCCAATGCTTTGGCAAAAAACGCTTTATAGATGGTAATAATGTTGCCCTGCATAAAGAGGATGAAAAGCGTGAGACCCAATAAGAGATAATATGCATCAGCTGATTAAAACGACGTGTTGAGGCCAAATAAAATACATACGAAAGAGCAACAATCCCCAGTACAAAGAAGTAGCATGTCAATACAGCATTCACCAAGTCCTTTGATAGAAACTTGAATAGCAAGAAAAGTGATAGCAACATTGCACTCCCAACAAAGGGAAATCGCATGGCATGTTCATTCGACATTGTCTCCTGCATAAGTGAAAGCGACATCATTTCACAAATTCAGGTGTAGAACCATGGCAATATCAAAACAAAGATGAGAAGATATAATGAGGATAAAGTCTGTTACTTACTGAAGGTGGAGTCGGTTTGACAGATCGGTAACAGCCCACAAACACAGTGAGGCATGCTGTCAAAATAACATTTAAATTTGGATCCACTTTCACAACAAGCGGTGCCAATGTCAGACCTGCCAAGACGGATAACGTCCAGTCAACAATTAATGGTCAAGGAACAGCAATAAGCCTGCTCATCGCCTCACTAATACATTGCAATCATCAAATACAGCCCTTCAACATGTCCATAACACATTGCTTTTCCCCGAGGAAGGCCCACGAGGACATACCACAACTGGCCAAATATAAGGTTACATCCATAAAATATGAAAACTACGATACACAAGTGACATAATGGCACCGTCGATATACGTTATGGAATCAAGTTTTCTGCCCTCCGTCAATTTGAGGGCAAAAGAAAACGAAATTAGCCAATAAACAATTGCACAAATATATCCTGCGATGCTGCATGTCGAATTACAAGTAAATGGCATATATGGGCACCACCAGATCAGGGTGCAAATCGTTCACTTCTAATTATTTTAAGCGATAAAAGAAAGAAAGTGAAAGGATCAACAAAAATTCCAACTTCACCATCGTTGGCCAGGAGGGTCAGTGCAAAATGAACAACTTCAACCGAAAAGCCGCCGATGAAATTACATAAATCTACTAAACAGCATAGGTAGGATGATGGGAAAAAATTGACCAAAAGATCCGGGGTAACTGACCAGCCAAGGCTAAATTCGCAATTCGCTCCGTGCTTCTCATCGTTAACCCTCTAAAGACGTCAAAGACTGGAGTAAATCCTGGATCTACTAAACCCAAAACTTCTGAATGCGGCCTTCCCTGCGACCCAAAACAGTACGAACTACCAAAGTCAGTAAAGACTGTAGATAAATTCAATGTGAGGTGTCACGAATAATATAGGGAATTTTGATCTCTCATAGACTAAACCTCCTCCCGCAGAAGAAAATCGCAGGGGCAATTGACCGCAACGCCCGATTCCTCAAGAAAATCACGTCCGTTGTGATCGCAAATCGGAAGGCCGACAGCGAAATTACGATTCTGACAAATTTGAAGGGTTAGGGTTTAAACTGAAATTTCACCCAACCCAGAGAGGCCGCGGTTAATCACCGACGTAGCACCCCTATATGTAGGACAAATTCATTCATTTGGATATTTAGAGCTGCGACGATACCAAACAGCCTAGAACATGGCTTCGAATTCGGTTTCCGTTTCCCAAGGTTCAATTCCCATCTACCAAACAGAGCGTAAAAGAGAAAGGCGCTGTTCATGGACACGTGTCGTGTTTTCGTTTGCCCGTTACAGTGAGAAACCAAATTGATTTGTCATGAATCGAGGGATTTTGGGGTAATAATCTCCGAATATACGCGCTTCAAGCGTTCTTGGACACGTCACGCGAGGATGATTTTGCATTTCGCCGCTATTGCTCGACCCGGGGTTTGATGTGTGCTGGCCAATCATACGCTCAGGAATGTCCAGGTCGGATCTGAGAAATACCTCCTTCCTCTTCCCTGGTCTTGACTCGAGTCTTGAGCGAGATCACCGTGCGATTTCTTTCCCCGGCATGGAATTCCAAATTCTCAATCTCGAATGTAGTAATTTTCCTTTTTCCCAACCCAGAGCCAGATGTGGTAATTTTCACCCTTATAATAAATATAGGAAACATCACAAAAAGACCACTAAAATACAAACATTATAAATAGGTACCCATTACAATATTAGTATATATTTTAACAATAACGGCATGGGTTTTAACAACAATTTTACGAACGGGTCCTTGTGTGTAATTTTTTAATTTTTGATATCTTTTTTTATGATTTTTTCATAAATATAATGAATAATTGTTCATGATTCTTGCATTTTTAAAAGGAAAACTTCTTCGAAAATAGTTGAGTAACTCAAATAAGTTACTAAATTGATCAAATTCCTAATAAATTCATATGATTTAAAGAAGGATTCTAATACCTCTTTCGTTAAAAACTAAAAGATAATTTAAATTAACACATTTTGTTTTACAATTAATACATTTTAATTTTAAATTAACAATTTTATGTTCTTATAAAACAATTGTGTAAGTTTTTGATGCATAAAACTTCACGACAATACAATACAAGTTTAAAAACTAATAAGTCTAATTACATGGTTAACAAATTTTAATCTTGAGTTAATAATTTTATGTGTCCAAAACAGTTGTTATAAGTTTTTAAATAAAACTTGGTTACAACACAACTTTAAAAATTATCATGTTGCATTTTACAATTAACATGTTTTAATTGTAAATTCACAACTTTTCATTTTTATAATATATTTGTGATAAGTTATCCTTGAATAAAAGTTTTTTTTTAGTCAAAGTTTTTGAATAAAAGTTGATCGCGATTTAATATTGAAAGTTAATATGTTCTATTTCATAGTAAAAAGTGTTTTTAGTATAAATTAATAATTTTTGTTTTTCATAACACGTTTGTAATAAGTCTTTGAATAAAACTTTTTCATAGCATATAACCATAAAAATAACATTTTCAATTTCATAGTTAACATGTTCTAATTCTAAATTAATAATTTTTTATTATTGAAAAAATAAAACAAATTTTTTTATCAAGTATCAGGATTAAGAAAGGAAGATTTAATATAAAAACTAACTCATTGTTCCATTCTTTATCATTGTACACGCCACGTTTTTTTCATTTAAACTTCTTACATAACACGAGAATTACAAAAAGTTCATATCTCTCTGTGTTTCTAATGAGAAAGTATTAAAGTCATTTTATAAAATTTTAAAATTTTTGTTTGAGTCATATAACTTAATTAGAGACTTGACAGATTCGGTGATCCAAGTAAAAATTTAGATTATTTAAGTATATTTTTAATGTTTTTCCTTTTTAAAACGTGTAATATAATGGCGAAAATGAATTTGTTATTGCTGTCTTTGAAATACATCCTCTGGGGCAGTCTCTACATATAAAACATTTTTAATGCCAATGGAATATGATAATTAAAAACAAATGTGAGAGGTTATAATATTTTGAAATTTTATATAATATGAAGCTTCATATTATAGAGTTTCATACTACATTCGTTCTTTAGTATAAGAAGTAATTTGACTTTCAATTTAGTTCAGAATAAAATATCATAGTTTATTTTATTTCCCATATTTATTTATTTTTTTCAAAGTAATTCTTATAGCAGCTGTATATGCCAAAAATTCAATCAAATAGTAGTTTTAGCTAATACTACCTCTAGTACTAATTATAAAATCTCGTTTATATATAAACGAGATTTTATAATTATATAAATAAGGTCTTATAATTAGAACCGGAGGTAGTATATGGTTAGTAAAAGTATATTAGGAAAAACAAAACATAATTATTATGAATAACTAACTTAATAAACTTCTTTAATCTATTCAAATTAGTCAACTAATCCCTATATTAAATACCAGATATAGTATTTTATATGAGGTTTAATGGACAAAAAACAAAATCATATAAAATAAACAATTCACCCGAATGAAATTAGGGGGTGTTTGGATAGAAACCAAACCATGGTTTCAGAAGTGCTTTTACGGATTACGAAGTAAATATATAGAGGAGATTATCTCGTTTTGCGGAAAAGTGATTCTGAAACCGTGGTTTTGGTTTTGCCAAACACCCTCTTAATCTGAGATTTGTGAATGATGCCTCTTACTGCCATCTTGGTCTCCACTACTAAAACACGTCACCTCAGGAAAAAAAAAAACCTACTGCTGACGGGCGTGAAATATTATTGTGCTGCAAAATTGATTAATGAGGGACTTGGTTTGATTACCGTCTGGATCCCGACAAAAATACTCCCTCATTAGAGGTTTAAGTTTGATTATAAATATGAGACATTAGTTCGTTTTTCTCTTGTTTATTATTTCTCCCCTAATTTACTTAATTTATAAACTGAAATATAATCTAATATCACATTAAAAATACTTCAAGGAGCTCATGTTATATTTGTTATAATTAAATAATTTATCTATTTTTTTAATATATCCAAATTAGTTAAGTGAATGGAGGTGATGTGTGGCAATTGAGCCACCAAAACATGTTAATAAAACAATGCAAAATATTAGTAATATATAAGATAAATAGATAATCATTAAGCATTAGCTGTTAGCCTGTTACGTTCTAAAAAGAAGTAATTCACAACAATTAATTGAGCTCACTACAACAAATTAGTTACTCATTGTAACAATTTGCCAGTGACAACAATTTCGATAAAGCTACTATCCAAAAAAAAAACAATTTCGATAAAGCAAATCGGAATTTTCTTTTGGATATAATATGATTAAATGTACAATGCCATGTCGGAATCTAAAACCCCACCTAAAAGTGATAGGATTGCTGCTGGAACAAATAGGATTAACTCTCGTAGGCCAAAAACAAAAAGGATTAACTCTCAACAAGTGCAAAATAAAAGTGTTTTAATCAATGTTTTTTTGTGTGTGATAATCTTAATATTTTAACGTGACAGAAATTAATCTTAAATTTAAAATGATTAACAAAATTTTGAGTTTAGAAAAAAAATCGTGCTATTAACCCGCATAAAGTATTATCATGTATAACTCGACCGAGACGCTATATTGCTTCTGCTAAACGAAAACAAAGGAATAGAGATAGGAAGAAACGCAGAGTAACTGTGTTCTTGTAAGCTGTCCGGGCATTCGAAAATCTGGCGGGGGCTCCTTAACTTCGTTCAGGAACAAATACGAATTGCAAAGAAATAAGCGGCGTTATATTATACGCTCCACTGCTAGAAACACGCTACTTCCTTCCCTTTCCCGGGCTTTCTATAATATTGTCACGGAAAGGAAACAATGGCGCAACTTCAAGTCCAGGTCCTTCAGCCCTGCAAATTACACTATTGCAAACTCACACACACGGCCTCCTTCTCTCAGCCTCCCATATTCAAACCCAATTACGAAAGACGCCTCATGTTGCCTCGTAGAACTCTACTTCTGTATCCCCCGCTCGCGGTTCAATCTCGCACTTTATGCAAGATGAACGGATCAGGTATACCTTCTCCTCTCTCATATAGTATGAATCAATCATGATTTCTCCTGTTTGCTATCAAATTATACCATTTTACTGGTTGGGGGAGGGGATGGTTGATTTGCGCATTTTCACAGATAGTTAGGGTGCACAGGTAAACGCAGCTAATTCTATGTTGTTCCTCTTGTAAGTGATTTTGTCCCTGGTTTGAAAACTATGCGAACTTCTTGGAGCGTTCTCAGAGCTAAAAGTATGCACTATTAACTACCACTGCTCGTGCCTGATGAGAATTAAGAATTTGGAATCCCGGGTTTCTCTTTGAAATATATTTTGCCTTATGAGTTTAGATGATTCTCTTCTGTGTCTGTCTCGCTAGTTGCAGCTAAATTTGTGATTGTGACCAATGTTGAACTCAAATATAGAAACGTTTTACCAACCTTACACAGATTTAGTTAGATATGATTTCACAGCTGGAACTTGGAAAATCTGGGGATAAAAGGAAACCGGAGAAACGAGTGAGCGGAATATTCTGGATCATACTCCTTAACATTGGAGTATATGTGGCAGATCATTTCTTTCAGGTATGCAATTTGCCTTCTTGTTGAGATGTCGGGAGGAGGATTGCTCAAAAATACATGTCTTCTGACAACAGGATGAGAATTCAACTTTTACCCCCCTTAGTTGACTTTAAATAAACTAAGAAGCAGCTTGAATCTATATAGCATGGTTTTACCTCGTTGCAGAATTTTTCTGATGCATCACATTAAGGCAATTGATGCTGTATATAAATTTTGCTAGGTTCGTAGCATTAAAACTTTGTACTTGTACCATAACTGGCCCGCTTGGTATCAGTTTCTCACAGCGACATTTTGTCATGCTAATTGGTGAGTCCTATGTGATCTCTCTATCTGTGTAAGCGTTGCATTTCAGTTTTTATGTTTAAATTTATTTACGTATGAACCTCTAGAAAAAAATTTTGTTCATTGGCCAATGCAAATGGAAAACTCTATCTCATTTTACTAGCTAACTACTACCTTAACATGTGAACTTGTTCAGGAATCATCTTTCTAGCAACCTTTTCTTCTTGTACATTTTTGGTAAGGGTATCACTCTTTTTTGTGTTCAATGAACGGGACATAAATGAAATTAGTGCTCAAGCATTTGGCATAAGCAGGTAAATTAGTTGAAGAAGAGGAAGGGAACTTCGCTTTGTGGCTTTCCTACATTCTCACGGGTGCTGGGGCAAACCTTGTTTCGTGGTTGGTTCTACCGCGAAGTGCGGTTTCCGTAGGAGCTTCTGGTGCAGTTTTTGGATTATTTACGATCAGTGTCCTTGTAAAGGTACCAAAATTGTATTGCGAAGTTGGTTGTCCTTCAGTTTTCTGTCATGCTTCCAAGTCATAACAGATTTACTCGACATAGATTTCATGGGACTGGAGAAAGATTCTTGAAGTGCTTATACTGGGGCAGTTTGTCATAGAGAAGGTGAGCAGGAGAAACAAATGTTCGTGCTAGCCATGTAGAATAATTTTTCATTAAAATATCAAATTTCACTAAATTCTTTGCATTAATTTTGCACTAATTTTTTTTTTTTAATATAAAAATGAAGCGAATGTTTTGGTGTTTTTTTGGTTGTCGTCTGAGCTATGCTTGAACCAGCAGAGTAGACCATGTCTTTTCTGACAAATCTGTTCTGGGTGAGCCTCAGGTCATGGAAGCGGCCCAAGCTTCAACCGCATTACCCGGTACCTTTCGGGGAGGCTACTTAATGCAAAGTGTCAATCACATTGCACATCTTTCTGGGGCTCTTGTTGGCGTGCTTTTAGTCTGGCTTCTGAGCAAAGTGCCCTCTGATCCTTCAGACCAAGTATCCACTTTGCAGAGGAAAACGGGAAGAACTCCGTAGACCGCAGGCAACGTCTTTAGTTTAATATCCAGTCAAATAATTTAAATCAGAAGACACACGCTCTCTCACTTCCTTTGTCATTCTTAGACGGTATATTCAATTCAAATTTATTATCCTCAGGCATTGTTTTGTGATGAACGTTTGCAATCGGGGAATGAGATAAAATGGCAAAATTTAGCTTGAAAGAAGATTTACGAAGGAAATTATGTTCGCAGCTATCGATACTTTGCATATCCGCGTGTTATATGGAAAGGAAAATGATGTCGCCCCCTTTTTTTTTTTTTTCCCAAAAGCCAATTGCGGAGAATAATGTTGCTTACATAACTGTTCTAGTCATCATTAAGAGCTGTACTTGAAATGCAGACGCCAAATTGAAGCTTTCTCTTCCTGACAAGATTCCAATTCATAGTTTCGACCTTCTCTCAATACATTTATGAAAATAAGATTTATGCAGCCTGAGCTCAAACAATCCCCAAGAATGATTTGCGGTTACAAACGGATGTGCTCAACAAGAAAAAGTTTTTTTTTTTTTTTTTAACAGAGAATTGATGCCTTCTTTCACCTTCAACACACTCCTACACTCAAGGAACAGGAGTAGCACGAGACAAGAAGCATGTTTTGGTTACAAGAAAATGTGAGCAGTGTGAGGTTGTTCTGACTATTTACCTTGAATGACTGATTCTTGTTCATTTGAATATACAATGTGATTGCGTCGGATATTCTTTTTTCAGTTCAAGAAAACTGCTGTACATGAATTTGCAAGTTGGTACGTGCCATGCTGCCCCAGAAACTGCCTCTGGCACATAATGGAAAATCCATCACTGGGTCTACAAGTTTGAGAAAGTCGCTTGAATTTTGATGTGAGCAATGAGCTTTCCAGATCGAGATCTTTCAAGGGAATTCGGCTTCTCCTGGCTGTTAAAGCCGAGCGTCTCGTATCACTGGTACCTACAGTTGGAATCTGTAAGAAACCAGAGCTAAGAGCACTGGTATAGGGCTTTTGGTAAACCATCTCAGAGCTTTCAGCTGGTATTTCTTCGTCTCGCTCTACTGAATGGGTCATTGGCTTGTTTTTTCCAGTATGTAGTAATCTATTTGCCTCTTTTGTTAATCCGGTAGAATACCAAGCTTCTGCAACAAGTGTGATTGTAGATTTCTTAGGAAGAACATTAAACTCTTTCATTATTTGGAGTATTCCTTCTGCTTTCCAAGGCTGTTTTGCTTCAGCATATCCAGAAATGAGGGTCTCAAAAGTCTTCAGATTTGGAGAAATCCCATATTCACACATCTTGTCAAAAATCCTGATAGCATAGTCCATCCTGCCGGTGCTGCACCATCCACTTATGACAGTTGTAAATATGACAACATTAGGGGGCACACCTGATTTTATCATGGCAGTTAGCAAGTCTTCTGCCTTTGCTGGTTCTTGCGCACGCACGTAGGCTTTAGCAAGGATACTGTAAGCATGTGCATCTGGTTCTACACCAGATTTCAACATATCACTGAAAACTTCCTTGCATTTCTCCAAGAATCCAGCTTGGCTCCAAGCATTCATTATGGTGCTATATGTGATCACATCTGGTTTGATCTGAAATTCTTCCATCAACTGTAGAACCTGTGAATAGATAAAACCACGAGTTAAAAATTGAATCATGCAATGTTAGGAGTAATAAAAACCAATTAAGGCAAAATGGACTCATGTAAGTCAAACTGCTGAGACCGTGATCCACCATACTGTGGATATTAAACCTAACAAACAAGGCCTTCTATATATTGCGGCAAAAGAAGAATTAGGTATTGCATATAAGAATTCGATTTATAAATCAATTGCTGCACAGCATGAAGGAATAAGTTCTAACGATTGTCCTTTACAAATTTAAATGATCTAACAACATAAAATGTCAAAACTCCTCAGCAAGAATCAGCGTGACTAGAACTAAGGAGATGGAGACATAATAAAACATTTGGAAAACGAATAAGATTTTTGCCAGTGGCGAATTAAAGACGGGTATTTCCCAGAGAGACGAGTTTTACAATATTCAATTACTCAGTTCTTAACTGTTATATCTTTTTTCCCGTTGCTTCATGCTTTACCTTGTATGATTTATAAAATGAATATCTAGAGACTAGAAGTTCAAGAGTCCATTGATAATTCTATGTTTTATGCCCTCTAAAATTTATAAGCAAACGACATTTTGAAATGAAGTTAAAAAATCCTAGGCCCGAACTTACCTCATCAACACCATCTCTATCCATCATGTCCACAAAACTATTTATTAGGGAATTGAACAAAACGAGGTTAGCTTGCAGCCCCAGATCCTTCATCCTGTACACGAACCTCAGAGCTTCCTTTATTTTACCTTCCCTGCAGTATCCACTGATAATGATGCTGTAAGTTCTCTCATTAGGCCTCACACCATTGTTCTGCATTTCTAAAATCATTGCTTCAGCCTTAGCCGTCTCTCCACTCTGAGCATAAGCTGTTGCCATCGTGTTGAAAGTAACAGCATCTGGCTGCATTCCGGATGCCACCATTTTATCCACCACACTCCGTGCCTCAGACATGTTCTTTTTACACCATGCTCTAACGAGCACATTATATGTCTTGAGGTTGGGTTTCACATTTCCCTCTCTTGCAATCATGTCCAGTAGCTTCATAGATTCTTCAGGCTTACCAGCTATTCCATACCCTTTGATCAATGTGTTATAAGTACTCATGGTAGGTATTATTCCACTATCTTTCATCTTCTGAAATGTTTCTATGGCTTCCTCCATGTTCCCAGATTCTGCAAACGCATTTATGAGAGCATTGTAAAATACCGAATCAGGCTTCATTCCTTTTTCTTCCACCTGTGAGACAATGGAATGTATGGATTCGAAGCTCTTTTGAATGGTCAAGGCATTCAACAGGGTTGTGTATGTTACTAAAGATGGTTGGTGCCCTCCTTTAATCAGATTTTGAAAAATGGCACTGGCTTCCCGAGGTTTTCCTCTATCTATCATTATATTCATTAATTTTGTTCTTGAGCGTACAATACGGCAACTAGTTTTACCCATGCAGAAAATGCAGCTGGGTTGACTCTCCGAATCTGCAGCCTTAGTAACATGGTTCACTGAAATCTTGTGATCGTCAGGATGATTTCCCTATTAAAATTAAATAGCACTATATGATCAATACAGTATTGACTTCATCTGAATTGCATGTAAAATAGTATTTTCACACATCTTATAACATTATAAAGACCTGCAAGTTAGTTTAACTTCAGTTGTTTAACATGCAGAAAGAGTGATTGATTTACTTTTTTGGCCCCACCAACTAATAAGGTCCAAAGGCAGCTGAAAACCGGAGGACATGGGAAAATCTTTTGATGTGGCAAACAATTTGGCATGTTATTAATCATTCATGTGACTACAGTTAGCTCACATTTTGTCAAATAATTGAACCATTGGTGTAATTAGGGACAGCTAACGCAATTATAGCTTCTACTCACGATTTACATTTTTAACACAGCTAAAATTTGCCCCACACCAGTAAAACCAGAAATATTCTATGGATATCAATCTAATTAGTCTGTGGATATTAGGAAAGATAATTTAAACAATATGAAAGTTCCTATAGTGAAGAAAAAGGAAATATATCTGCAGCTCCCCAGCAACTTAACAAGAAGCTGAAGGGCTATATTAACATAGGGTGGAAAATTTTCCTATAAAAATTTGCCTTTCCAAAACTTGTTTAAAGGTTGACAATAGTTGTGTCCTTGAGGAACATGTTGCGGTAAGAATGGTGCCTTCTATTGCAATTCACATCGTATTTAAGTAATCATGATATGTGAATACTTCATATTACTCTGTAAGTTAGCATTAGAGGCCCTCAGATTTAGATCCAATTGAGCCATACAGCAGTAGTAGCAACAAAAAGGAGACTTATTTTCTTCATGATGGCGATACAGCATAAAACCAAGAAGTTTGAGGCAGCAGAATGGCAATAGCAATATTAGCTGTTATATTTATACCTTGATTGACACTGGTTGGACCCATCCTTTCTTCATGGTGGCGATTGTTGCTTCTTTTCTGTAACAAGTTCCGTAAGAAGAGCTATTATTTCCAGGTTGTATAATATCTTTCCTTCAGTCTGTGCAAGTCCACATCAATTGCTTTGACAATCAAGAAGGTCGCAACTTACTTTCTGTTCGTCTTCATACTCCTACAGGATTTTACAGACGTAAAATGCTTTTATACCATCAAGTTTGGGATAAAACTGTGGAACATGGAGTATACTGAAGCTGACTGAAGAATAGGGAACACACACACACAGTCTTCCCTGATCAACTCAATGATGCAGCTTAAAAGGGCGTTTGGTCTTTGACTTCTTTGATTACATTACTCCTAATCTGCATAGAATCTAAATAACCTTCACCTCCCTTGGAAGCACAAAACACTAAAATTTAAAATCTGACGAAGAATGATAGGTAGCATAGCAGTGCCACTATGAAGGTGTCATTTAAAATCTGTAGACTGAAAGTTCAATTAAAAATAAATCCAAATAAGTTTCCATAAGTTAAGGAACTATCCATAACCAACAAGAAAATTAGTATGCACTGCTGAGTGCTGACGGGATCAAAGTGGATTCTATGGAAGACGAAGAATAACGACTTTTTCTTGAATACACTACCAGCGTCTTGATATAAAAGAGACAATATAATGGAGAGTAAATGTAGAGTAAGGTGGATTCTGTGAAAAAGAAATACAATCTCAGGATAAAAACCGCGATCAAGAAAATGACCCAACAAAACAGTTGAGAAAAATGCATAGTTGAGAGAGCCCAGAAACCTTGGGTGTTTTTTTTTTACCTGCTAAGGCTGAATGCGCAGGTAGTAACAGGAAATGAAGGGCTAGAAAAGGAGGACGAACGGCAATGAGACGGGTCGGATTTTGGATTGAGCAGACCATTGGTTGAAATAGTTTTGAGAAAGATGTCCGAATAAATTTTTTTTTTTTAAAAAAAAGGCTGGGAAATATATTATCCACAAAAGAAGACGTGTGAGTGCGTGACCATAACAAAACGAAGGCAAGGAAGAGACAAAGGGATAAGGAAGCAGGAAGTGAGGTAGAACTTTCTGATAGGATGCCCCTTCCCTTTTTTGTTTGTTCCTTGCCCTTGGCTTCTCCTTATTCCTATTTCTAATTGGTTCAGTATTACCATTTTCCCCTTTTTTAATGGATTAATTAGTTGAGTCTTGAACTTGAGTGTCACAGACAGGTATGTTTTAAATTCCTGTGCTCGAGTTGGCAAAAAAAAAAAAAAATCTTGTTGGAGAAATTAGATTGATTAGTTAAAATTTTTTATAGCTGCTTAAGGATACTAAATAAAAAATTAATATTATAAATAAAATGTTTGACTTGTGTGAAAAGCAGAGCTATTTATTGGATTTATTTTTTAATCTCTTTTATTATGTTTTATCATTTATTTTCAAAAAAAAATCAAGGGTAACAAACTCTAAAAGAGAGAGACACAAACAAGGCCTTTTGTGTTCGGCCGTTAATTACTGACCTATATGAGCTTCAATGATTTCTGAGCCGGAAAAACGGATTGAGCCCGTTGAGTCGGCCCGTTTAGGCCCTGAATTTATAAAAGCTGGGTTTGAAATTTTTTTCTTCAAATGAGATATAAGTTCTGGAGGGTTGGCCCTGAAGGGCTAAGGGTTTAAAAGGGCCGGCCTTTAAGGGCGTAGGGCCGACCCGTTTAGGCCCTTTTATAATTTTTTTTGTTTTTTAAATTTTCTTATGTGATTCTAATATTATTAATCTTTTTATATTGTTAATAATATTTTAAATATTTAGTTATTATTATCATTTTAAAATTAAATTTTACAGAATGATTTGATTTATTTAGTTTTACACAATAATTTATCCAACTAAATTTTTAAAAAATGGGTTAATTTAGACTTTAATAATGATTTGATTTATATTATATACGTTAATATTTTTAAACTATATATATTTGATAATAGAGTATTTTTATACTTATATAACTTGTGATTTTATAATTTGAATTAGAAATTCATGAGTTTCAACAATAATGTTTCTCATATTAAAGTAAAATAATAGCTAGATTATAAAATTTAAAAGTACAATTCTTATAAAGAGGAAAAACGTAATATTTTTGTTAAGAAAGAAAAGCATACTTATGAAGAAGAGTAACTGATTATGGTGATGATGAACTTTCAAAAGATTAATGATAGTGTTTATTTATTACATAATTGCACTATATATAAAATTTTGGATGTTATTATCTTGTTAATGAATGTTTTAGATGTTTTTGGATGTTAATGAATATTTATATATGATGATATTTTGTATTTGTGATATAATTTTATTCATATTTATGTCTTTTATTAACAATATTATTGGTTTATTTTATTTTATTGATAAAAAATGAGAAATAAAAAATATATAAAAAAAATAAACTTAAAATTTTTTGTATTTTTAAATTTCAGTCCTTTTTAAATCTGCTAATTCCAGGACCGATCCGGTCTTGATTTTTACCTCTATCTCTCTCTGAATGACGACAAGCCCATCTGTGATCCAAGCCTGGCCCTGACTGTCTGATAATCGAAGTACGAATTTGCTTTTTCCTCTTTTCGCTGCGTTTTTCTGCCCCCCTAATGTCAACGAGTGGACGTTCACCGCTTGCAACTTCTCATCTATTTTGTGTTTTCTGAGGAACGTTAATTTTTTCTCTTTTGCCCTTCTCTTTCCTCTATCCGCGTTCCAGGGGATGAATCTCTTGCGGAATTTCAATCCCCGTAAAATGACGTCGGGAAAAAGCTTATCCAAGACGGAAGGCCACTAATCTTTCATTGCCCTCGGAAAAACACTCTGATTATGGATTCTGTTGATGATTAATCTTCCAGTCATCTACAAATGCCCACTTGGCTAATCCTCAAATGACATGAATATCGATTACCGATAACACCGTTCCTTGAAATTCTCTTTTCTTTCTTTGACTCTGTTTGAATCGGGATATGTTGAAATTGTGGAAATGGTACCAGCATTGCTTAGCTGTTCACCCAGTTAAGACACAGATGATGAGCTCTGGTTTTATATGGGGGTTTGGCGATATAGCTGCTCAGGCTATCACCCACTCCGCAGTCAAGAACCATAAACCAAACAAGGTATTGTTCCTTTTTCATTCGCTCCAAATACAGATTTAGCGGCGTTCTTCCCCGTACAAGCAGATGGTAGTCTCCATTTCGTAAGTTGGAGCCCGGACTGTGTTTCAGTGTTTGTCAGAATTGATGTTGTCATATGCTACAAGAGATAATTCTGATTATTCTTTCGTAAAAATTCTCCATTTTTTCGACTGGTTGGTTGTTTCAATTTTTTGACATTGGTAACATGATAAGGGCACAAGAACTCTGAATCTTTTCCATTCCATGGTTTTTGTGATTTATGGTGTGAATTGTGAGATGGGAGCTGAAGTTGAAAACTTATTGTTTGTAATCACACTACATGATCAATCAACTTATTTCTCTTCGTTAATGGCAAACTGTCTTATATACTCCAGGAGGACGATAAAGAATTTAAGGTCAACTGGAAACGGGTGACTGCGATCACCTTCTATGGGTTTGGATTTGTTGGTCCTGTTGGCCACTACTGGTAATAAGCATTACTTTTTATGGTTTCTGTTTTGGATTAGATTGTAATGGACGGGTCAAAATTGACATATTGGCCAAGTTTAATACAGGAAATGGCTTCTTAGTTTATTCAAATTCACTAATGAGCTGTTTTATGTCGGTTATCCATCCGTCTAGTTACCATGCATATGGATGGATAACCTATACTTAAAATAATATATTAAAATATATAATTTGATAATAAATGCTACAAGAAATTTATGCCAGATAATCTTCATTTTCAAAATATGCTTCTTGTACTTTAAAGCAGCATCTTTAATATTCTACTCAAGTTTAGACAAAAAAGCTTAAAAAATGCATGTGCCCGTGCTAGCGAAGAATCTTTGCACTCAAACACATGAAGTCTATACATGCATGTGCGCTCCTGTCATTGTTTCCATACCCAGATGTTTTTATGTATATGTAGTATATGGCTACATGAGTGCATCATGCATATTGTAATCTTCACTTGATGCTGATTTTTGTAGGTATGAAGGCTTGGACCGATACATAAGATTGAGACTGATGCTCAAACCAAATTCCTTTCACTTTATTGCCTCTAAAGTTGCTGTTGATGCATTTCTCTACGGACCGTTGGATTTACTTGTATTTTTCACTTATGTGGGTTTTTCCACAGGGAAAAGTGTTCCTCAAGTCAAAGAAGATGTGAAGAGAGACTTTCTTCCGGCCTTGATTTTAGAGGGAGGCGTATGGCCCTTTTTTCAAGTTGCAAATTTTCGTTTTGTACCTGTGAAGTATCAGCTTCTCTATGCTAACTTGTTCAACACATTGGATAGTAGTTTCTTGTCTTGGATTGAGCAACAACAGGATGCTCCTTGGAAACAGTGGATGAAATCTTTTCTGCCTCTGACGGAACAGAAGCACCAAAGCGAATAAGTGACTTTCTGATCTCCCATAATTATTTTTCCCACTTCTCCATTCATTGCAAGTGCATGTACATATGTGTTGGTGTTTCGCTGATGTTATTGGTTGAATTGGGGTTTTGGGCTGGGTAAATGTCAATATGGTCAAATTCTGAGTTCCCCCAGTTAGAATTAAGTGATGAAACCGCTTTCTCATGATGCGATTTTCGCGCTGAATACGATTGTAGAAATATTTTTTCGTTGCGTAGAAGTGAAAGATGGTTTCGGCCGTTGAGTTGACCAGGCTAGTAGCCCTTTCTTAATATCCTGATCTCGCGGTTGGCTTTGGAGCAGAGCAGTTCAATTAATAGTCCTTCCATCCACGTTTTATTCCAAAAAAAACAACAGTTCAAATATCATGAAACATAATAAGATCATTTAAAAAAAAAGAGAGAGAAAGAAAAAGAACCGTATTCCAATTGGTTTAGCCGTCTTTGTTTTTGGGCGCATGTAGGGGCCGCGCATCTGAGAGTACTACAAAATTCCATCTTTTGACGATAAAAGTTTTTGTTGAATCATATCTGATGCATAGGAAATGCTTTCTCAAAAGCTCAAAAATTTCATATGATAGGATTAAAATCAAAACGTTCACAACACATCCAAAATTTGGGTTAAGTAGGGGTGCACTTGACATGGAAATACATGATATTGACTTGTATAAACTTTGACAGAATCGTTATTGCTACTGTGTCTTGTAACCTGTCTTTGAGTTGATCCCAAAAACCTGGTAACGGAGTTGATGTCTATCAAGTTGAAACTTGAGAAGAGTAAAACAAATTATCTAAATCATATCAACTATGCACGAATCATAATTCCGTTAGAATCATTTTATTCCAAAACACATTGTAAGTGTACTAAAGATGAAAATAACTTCTACTTTGTATTAAAGTGGTTGGATGGAAACCAAATAATGGTTTTATAAGTGATTTTACAATATACAAAATAAATACATAGAGGAGTTTATCTCGATTTGTGAAAAAATACTTTTAAAAAACACTTCTCTTGATATCCAGGCACCTTTTAGTCAACTGACGGTATACCAATTGTCTGCTTACAAATCCAGAATGAAGCATTTTTGTTTGGACACCCACAACAGGTGCTACATAACCCCAGCAGATTTCATGGCTTCCATCATTGAATCTACTTTTTCGCGTAATCCAGCTCTTCTGTAGCCAGATATCAACAAATCGCAAGTGGATCTGCTGAGCGGATAACTAGTCTCTATACATTCCAAGAATATGTCTAGCCTATCATAAGCTTCTCTTCTAAAGTATGAGCAGATAACCTTTTCAACATCATCTGTTCTTGTGAATGAGAGCCCTTGTTTCAACATTCTTCCCACGGCAAACTCTACATCGTCCAATCTATCCAGTTTGGCATACATCCGTATAATCCCACAATGAATTCGGGAGAGTACTCCATCAGTAATAGGATGGGACTTCATCATAGTTTCAAGCAGCTCCTCCATCTTTTCCACTTGCCCAATTTCTTGATACAGTGCTATTAATTTATCAGTCATGTTTTCATTGATCTCCCATCTCACACTTGCCACAAACTTCAAGAACTCCTCGGCTCGACTCAAACTCTTTTGTTTGCAAAGCCCTTCAAGCATATTTTCCAGAATGGATATACTAGGTATAATTCCTGATGACATCATTTCTTCGTAAATTCTATCAGCAAGTTCAAAATTTCTTGATTTGATACAACCTGATATAAGGGATTCAAATGTTTGAAGATCAGGACCGATTCCAGCAGCTTTTTTAGCTGAGTACCAAGCTAACATGGCATCAACGTTCCCTGACATTGAAAATGCTGTAATAAACACATTATAAGTATGAAAATCAGGTTTATAGCTCTCTGAACTTTCCATGATCTCAAATAAGCTAAATGCTGTGGTAATGTCATTGGAAAACAAGCAAGCATTTATAAGAGAATTAAAAACCAGGGAGGTGGGTTTAACTCCATTAGCCTCCATAGAAGCAAACGCTTGCATTGCAAGTGGCACATTCTGAAGCTTGCCGCAAAGAAATATGTATTCGGAGAAGACATTGTGATTTCTCTCATTTTCATTCAGCAATTTCTCCAAAACCCATTCCAATACCTGACCATTCAATACGTGTATATGAGAATATTGATATGAAATTCAGGAACCAAAATTGGCGGGATATTTAAGAAAATGAAACCTTATTCCGTATAAAGATTGATCTCAGATATTAAAACCATATTTTCCGCAAGAACAAAAATCCAGTGAGCGAAGAACAGGAATGGTAGCAGCAAAAACTCCAAAACTGGGAGGCAAAAGAGAACCCCGCTTGTTTGATTTCACAAGTTCTTTTTCTTACAGCATTCTCAGAATTAAAGCAGCAAACCAGGGGGAGAAATCACAGGATGTCTGAATTAAACAGTTAACATAGATTAGACTCCGATTTCATTTCAGTATATCCAATTGGAGCAAAATTTGCATAATAAATATTTGCCACTACTGATTCTTCGTTTCGATTCGGTAGATTGCGTATACCTATTTTATCATCGAAGGTGAGCACAGAAAAGCCAAAACTGACAGAATTATCAACAGCCGAAAACATTACCAGCTGAACTTTCTCAGGAGAAGAAGGCCTTAGACAGGTAGCCAGAGATTCCCAAGAAATTTCGGAGCTTTTAAGGGAACGAAATTCCTGATCCAGCGTAGGTTTAAGGCGCGAATCGGATACCCGAAGCAATTTGATAAGCGAGGGATTTGAACTTGATTCATTGTGGAAATTCAATTGGTGAGAGCTTGAAGGAAGAAGTGCTAGAAAGTTAAACCTTCGAGCGCACCTCTTCCTCACTGATAATAAAACCCTACATGCTGACGCCATGTTTTCATTTCGGTTCCCTAAAAAAGTGACCTTCTCTGTTCTCTCTGCAACGACGAACTATCGGGGCCTGGTTTGAAAGTTGTCCCATTCAGTGGAAATTTTATCGATTAAAATGAACTTTTGATTTGATTCCCTTCCGCAGATTCACAATTTTGTCACCAACTCCACGAAATTATGGGTTACCAAATAGTCGTCAAATACCGCTGGCCATCAATGCCCTTTCAGTTTCGCAGAGGAACTAAGGGAGTGTTTGCAGAGTAAAAAAATGCTTTTTAAAAATATTTTTTCCTAAAATGAGACAGAGTCCTCCTGTAAAAGCATTTTTAAAAGTATAATTTGACTTCTACTTAAATACCCCTTAAATTTTGCGGAGATATCTCAACAGCAATTTCGTCCACTGCAGGGCATTTTTTTTATAAAGCCTTTTAAATTTATTTATTCATAATTAGCATAACTTATTTATCACTGACTAGATACGAATTAAAAAGACAAAAATTACAGAGTAAATCAGATGAACATGTGTTTCCATTGGAACTTCTTTCAAATAAAAAGCTTACCTTTAACAAAGTCCGAAGACTCCATAGCACTATCATATATCATTAGCACGACAAGAAAATAGCAGGGAACAGTAATTGTTGAGGTTCTTATTAGTTGCAAAAACACCATAAGAAGAGTAGCACTCAGAATTTTGCTATAAACAGAAGGATTTCATTGTACCAGACTACAATTTCACATTTGAATACAAGGCCGAATAAAATTGACAGCTCATGGCGTACAAGGAAAGCCTGCATCAACGTGAGATGACCAAGAGCAAACCTCTCCGGACTTGACACCACTCTTCTAGGCTTTCTTGTAAAGGAGAACATTTGCTAACGGATGGTGTAAGGGAACTACAAAATCTCAAGGCAATGGAAATCCGTCGCCCATAATGATCAAGGCAAACCAAATTTGCTCAGAGCTGATTGGAACAATGTTGAGAAAGCCTCGGATGAACTCTGATCATCAGCTTTAATTTTAATTTGCGACTTGGCTGAAGATGTGTTGATTATACACTCTACAAGAAATGTTGAGGTTTCTTCTGCCTTTTGAGCAAAGAAGAAGTACTTGAAGTTAGGGGACTGACCACCTGATGCAATGCAGTGTATCGAATTATCTTTCATGTGCTTGAGTAGTGCATTAGAAGTTGTCAACAAGGCAACTCCTTGAGGACTCATTGAATATTCCTGCATCACATTGAAAGGAAAAGGCAGAGGTAATGAAGCAAGGAAAAAGTAAAAATGGAAGTGGTGTATTCCAAAAGAAAAGGGCCCAATAAAAGGTGTGAGGGCTACGTCAATGCTAACATAAAATTAATGAAACTGAGATAATGATTTCCATAAAAACCTGACATAAAGATATAGGCAGTTGGCGCCATTTCTGCTGAAATGAGCCGGGATCCAATACAGCTTTTGGGTTGAGCCTCAGAGGAGGAGGTGGAGGCGTGGCAGCTGTTCCACCGACTGGAAAATTTAAACCAAGCAGATCATCAATTGCCAAGCTAGATGCTGAAGCCTGACCCGATAAACTGGTATCGGTAAATGCAAGCTCTCCATGTGATTGTGAAGTTGCAGCAGGGCCAGATGAACCACTGTAGGAAGGAGCACTATAGGCAGACCCATTGCTACCAAGATCTCTACCATCCTCTTTTTCTGCAGTACTCAGAAGTAAATCCTTGTCATTTGCCTCCACACTCTGGACTGGAACAACAGTATCTGCAGATTCTGCACTGATAGACAGATTTCCAAGCTCGTCTGAAAACTCAAATGGCCCTCTATGTTCCTTATCAGTAAACATGTAAGAAGGCTGCATGAATTTAACATTGTTAGTTCAGAGGATTTTGAAGTACAATCAACAAGACATTTTGACCTGACTTTTGTCAATTAAAAACCGCTAGGAGAGGGTAACTAACTACCTTTTGGTATACAACAGACAGACTATTGAACTCATCAAATATGCGATCTTTAACTTCACTACTGTGAGTGTCAGCAAAGACTGAAACTGCTTGCTTTGGAGGGTTAACCACTCGCTCTGCCACTGATACATTGTATTGCAGAAGCCTATAATAAAATAGGGCTCTATCATGAACATCCTGCAATCAGCAATACTTCTAGTTCATTTAACATAATGGGAACAAGCAAAAATATAAAAATTTTTGTTGAGAAAATTCATAGTAGCAACTATTCACACTTGGTGAAAATCAGCGAGACCAGCAGCCAATGCAGCTCCCAATGCTTTCTGGGTCTCTGGTGGTCTCTTAAAGAAACACTTCATCACTGCAGTAAGAAGATGCAAGCGAACCTGCACAATGAGCCAATTGTTCAATAGAGAGATTAGCAAACATAAAGACAAGAACTGAACTAGTGTATAGATGAGAAGAAAGACCAATAAATCACTCAGAAGTTAGTTTATATTCTTTCTTTTCTCTTTCCCTTTTTATTTTTATTTTTTAGGAACCAACAATGTTTTGGTGATTAAAACATACGGAATATGATGATCTTTTATGGATGATCTGAATGATTCATTGATGATAACAAACCCACATTAGAATCCCATTTAAACCCTTTCCCTACAATAGTTCTCAAGTGTCAGTTGAAGAAACTATGGCTTTGATTATGCCATGTCACAAATTCGGCCAGATACAGAAAGTTGAACTAGGTAGAAAATTTGCCACAGAACATTGGTAAATATAATAAATCTCACAAATTTCCACACAAGATTTGTTAAGATTCAGAGTTACATTCACTGCAGCCAGTGGGAATTTTACAAGCACACACCAAAAGAAAAAACTGTGGGATGAGAACCAGGAAGCATTAGAGACTCATGGAAAAGCTTGATATGTTAGGAGGTTAATCTTAGCATTACACAATCTATATCCAACTTCCTTTGATCATCCACCACTTCAACTTGTAAGGGAGGTGGACAATGAAAGAGAGTGGGATTAATGCCTGATTTGTCACATGTTTCTGTTTCTATCCCAAAATACTGTTAAAACAAGAAGCAAGGATGAAATGCCCAACTTTGTTTCACATGACATCCAAAAGGAAACTATAAATCTCCCATGCTACAATCACACAACTACAAAACCTCAAAATGCAGGTGTACTACCTCAGGGGAATGCTCCTCGTCCCAATTTTCAACTAAACTCTCCAAGGCATAGGGAGCATCCTGCATGTTCTCAGAATATTCCCCTAACATCCATATAAGAGCTGCTTTGGCCTTGGGTTCTTGGACATTTTTGCTACTGATATTGCCAACAACAGCAATACAATCCTGACTCCATTGTGGATACTTTCTCAGCAGATCCTTCACAAGCACCTGTGCAGAACAACTCCAGATAGTATTCATCAATCCTCCACGGTATAGTCAAACTAAAATGGCATTCTTATCATATATATGTTTGTTGCAAGTAGAGAAATCACTGCAATACAGTTAGGCACAATTTCCATAGTCTATTTGACAGACTGTTGTTTACCAGAGCTTCGGCAGTAACATAGTCCTTTTCCATTTCAAGAAACTGTAGAAGCCGATCAACAATAGCATTGACATCATACTGCTGCAATGCTATCTTCCCAACAGCTCGAATCGACTCCCTAGCAATGGGAATGTCAACATTTGCAGCATATTCACACAGTTCCGTCACTGAAATCGACCCAGGAAGGTCATGCATTAGTCGTGCTAAAAACAAAATTCAATTTAGAAAAACAAGAGCAAAGGAATTCAGACCATCGATCGGAATATTAAGCAAAAAATTTATAAACTGATTTGGGTTTTCCATTCCTTTCTTTAGGCCAGTTCTCAGTTGAAAGGTACAGGGAGGAGTTCCTCACCTATCTCGTAGGTGTTGCTTTCATTTGCAACTGCAGTCAACATTTCAAGCTTCAATTTTTTGACATAAGATGGCTCATTATACTGACAGTAGAAGTGTTTGTAGTCCCCAGAAAATATATAAGGTGCACGCATCACCAAGAGATGCAGGTGGCTTAAAACCGCATAAGATTGTTCTGGACTTCCTGAACTCACAAGAGTTAAAAGAGGGGCTTTAATGCGCTCATATACCTATCCACAAAAAAAAAAAAAAAAGAAGAACCAAGCTGCATCAGAAATCAGAGCACTTCATGCGAGTAACAAAATCTAAAATGATATGAACAGAAGAAAACTTCATGAAGACTCCAAAAATCTGTAAAATTACACCACGAGCCACTGTTTCAGATAAAATTCATCTTCACCAAAATATCATGTTTTTAGTAACAAAAAATTGGAATTAATTGAAGCGTGAACACTGGATAAGGGGAACAATTTAACATAGAGACACAAAAATATCCAAAGTATGGGACATAATTTAACGGGCTGACTAGTTAAAGGAGAAGTCTTTGCCAAAAGCAAAACAAGCATAACCCATATGGACAACTTAACGCATTGCAAATTCACGAAAATAGAATACTTTCCGTAATGAGAGATTTAGTTAACTTGAGATAATAACAAGAAAGAAGCTAGACATATACCTGCTGATGAACATCAGCCATAGACAAAGTCAACTGCAGAAATACTTTAGTGGTTGCCAAGACAACAGCACCATTTGCATGCTGCAATCTATCTTCAAGGAGATTCATGATATCAAATATTTCATTGCTATCTGAGGGCACATACTTGGCTGCCAACTCCAGTACAAGGCATTGAGCCCATTCATTGAATTCTTTAATACTGCATGCAGAAAAATGTAATGAAAGAAGAATTATTTAAAAGTATATGTTTGCCTGGTAGCATGATATCAGTAACAAATGCCATCCACGCATGCACGCGCATGTGACATTGGAAGAGTTTAAATGCATTTTACAGTTTAAAATATAAGACCCAGCACAAGCATCAAAACCAGGGTTCTCTTTCACAATTGTCTAGATAATATTCAATGCATGTTTCTACAAGCACAAAGAACTAGAAATGTAGGCACCTGGTAGGTTATACAGTATGTATAAGACAAGATTTGTATGGAAGAGCATGCACATGAATGCTTCTTTTTTCTTTTCTTTCTTCTTTTTACATGTCCCAATTTCTTAATGAAAGGACGTTTCTGGTCAGCAGCCTTTCTCAGACAAACAAAAGGAGTTTTGGACTAAACTTTGTCTAGTAGAGTCCATTGAAATGTCTGAGCAAGGCCTGCAAGCAACAACTTACCGGTTCAGAAGGTAATATACGACTGGCTTGCTAAGCAGAGCTTCTCTCTCCCTGGCTGCTTCCTCTGACGTACTTGCCTCTAAGGTCCAAATCTCTTGTAAAGCAGACAAACAATTTGCAACCACCTGATCAAACAATATGCATATGAAAATTAAAGATAGCAGGAAAGTTAACATAACCAATATAATATGCAAAGTATAATTTGGTTTGATGACTGCTATCATGTACTAATAGAGGTAAGCAGCAATAGGTCAGCTGCCTCCATCCTCCTAATGAAACTAAGTTTAGCACATGGTATAGTAAGCCAGTGCTCTATCCATAATTCATGCCTCGAGTTTTTGCTTGAAGGAGCATGGCAGGGATATTAAGAACCAACCATGGACCTTCACTGAACAAGCTTTTGTACCAAATGATCCTTGAATAAGAGAGAAATGTGGAGGCTGCGAAATAGGTGTCAAGGATAGTTATCATTCTCACAAATAACCTACAAAGTTGGTATCCCCATCACCATGATGAATATTTAAAAACAAGAGTTAGCAAACACGACAAAATTATTAATGATATGAACCCAGTTACTTCATTGGCTGCAACTACATGCCTCAAAGGTAGACTCATTTATGTCCATGATTCCATCACATGTACCCATCTCTCAAATGGAAACATGGAGATATTTAATGAACAAAATCTTAACAAAAAGAGATGCCAAGGAGACCAGCCAATATATGGTGTGATCCCTGAGGGAATTATTCCACATTAAAAATAACACTTCAATCTAATTTTTAATTTAAGTTTTCGACTAAAATACCTTCATTATAGTGTGCAAAACTGGACCCTACCTGAGCATCTTGGTCATTAAGCATCAAATGCTTCAGAGTTGATGGAAAATCCGCATCAACACAGGTGGAAGCTGATATATGATACAGCTTCAAAACCCCAACAACTGCCACCGTCCTGACATAGCTATTACTGTCCTTCAACCCGGATCCTAATGGCCCAACCAAATACTCCACCAAATTTGCCACTCTAAGTGAACACAAGCTCCTCAATGCTAGTCCCCGTATCATTGGATCCTCGTCTTTGCAATCTCTTTGTAGAAAGTTGATTGTCAAAAGTGCAAGATCAGGATTGACCCTCGCATAGTTTCCAACATAAAGGTAGCACATTTTCTTCAGAACAATATCTGATGCTGCTGAGCACATGACCATCTCACCAAAGAGGGGTGAGACATCAATACCAACTGTCATGTAGGAAATCACCTTCTTAAAGAGTTCCCTCTTGGAATCATCAACACCCGGAGCTCGGCTACCCGCAAGCTGCCGGAGCTGTGATTTTAAATCTGAGACCTCGCCTTTCCTGCAGTTTTACAGACAAGGCATGCCATCAGGAAGAATAATAAATGTGCCAGGAGAGAACTGTAACAGTTATGAACCAAGAGAAGCATACGTGAATTCCAAAATAAAAAAAGAAAGTTGAGCAGAAATAACAAGAGAACAAATCCAATGAAACCAACAGAGCTGCTTTTACTATTCCAAAACAGGCTTCTAAAATGGAGAAACCACGGTGAGACTGGAGTGTTGGCCCTATGTTTGGCTGCTCCATATACCGACCTTAAAGGACGCAAGTACGCCACCATTAATCAAGCAGCTTGTGTGAGCGGAAACTACTAAGGAAAAGAATTATGCGCCATGCGACTTTAATGTCCTCGACAACCAAACGGAGAGGGTCCACTATTCAATTAATTGTAGATAATGAACAGCATGAAGCCTAAAATCAAAATTAACCGAACTTTAATTTACGAAGAATCATGGCAGGAATTGCCATGCAATTGCTTCCGCCGATGAGTCTAAGTTACGAGTTGTTTAATCCAGGGATGAAAATCTCTTCTGTGATCTGAGGTATTGCTAGCTAGGATAATCCAAGAAAGCGAATTCGGATTGAGACTTGGCATTTCAATGATTAAATATGGAAACTCACCCAGATGGTTGCGAGGGCGAGGGAGATCGCTGGGACTGTTGTGGGGGAGCCATGGCCACTCGCTTGCGGCACTACAAGGAACAGTAGATCTTCGTTGTTGCTCGGATAGAGGAAGATCTATGCCAAAAAATGAATGGAGAGCAATGGTAGCTACTGATTGAACTTGTGCATCTACGAAAATGGGAAATTGAAACAGCACCAGCCCCGACTCGCGAGAGAGAATTTAGACGTAAACAAAGCCGATGTGGCTGGATCTCATTGGCTCTGCCCGTTCCGGGATTCCAACATCACCACAAGAAACGACGACCTTCGTGTGCGACGTTTTACTCTCGAGGTACACATTCAGGCATTTTCTCTCTTGCGCGGTTCATATGAACAGCCAACTAAAATCGCAAGCATTAGTTGGTCCCAGGAAAAAAAAAAACGAAAAAGAAAGAAAGGATACTTTAATTTTTAAATAGTACTGGTCTTGGTCTATGTAATTAAAAAGTAAAAACAAAATTTTGATGTGAAATCGAAGGTCAGGTTTAACTATACTTGTCAATTAGAAGTAGAAGTTAGATTAGATGAAACTGATGAATATGATATTCAGTTGTTCTGGTAAAAAAAAAAAAAACAATGATCTATATGATGCTGTGGAGAAATGAACCATGGCTGACAGAGGAAGGCAGTAGACGGTGGTGGTCAATGGTCGTCAGCGGTGGAGGAGCATGATAGTCGACGATAACTGGTGGGAAGTCAATTATAAAAATTTAATGAGATTAGGTTTTTTCCACTGTTTTTTACATTACTTATTTAGGATAATAATATTTCGCCCTGCGAACGACGTGACGTTCACTAACCACTCAAGAGGAGATCTGGGAAAGCGGGCTGGCGGTGCGGATACGGGCCAGCCCGCCGCGGTGCGGGCCAAATGCGGTGCGGGCTGAAGTAGCCCGCACCTTGGCGGGCTAGCATTTTGCCAGCCCGCCAGCCCGTCTAAATTTTTTTTTTTAAATTTATTATATTACTATGAGTTAAGCCTAATTTAAAATGTTGAAATTACGCTCCGAGTTTTAAACTTGAGTAATGGATCCTAATAAAAAAAAAGAGAATTAATTTATAATATTAGAAGAAATTTAAGAAAAACTAACATATATATTTTTTATAAATAATTAATTTAACTAGTTTTCTTATCCAAATTAATTAAGTAAATCTTTTATGTGTGTGTATGTATAACTATATGAAAATCACATATTTATCTAATCTTATGAAGCCGTGCATACTAACGACAAATAGATATAAAAATAAAAGATGGATAGTGCTCTTCATATAACCATACATATATATGAAGTACTTAATTAATTATATATATAATGATATGGATGAGGTAATGTCCATGTGAAATTTAATGGTCAAAATCATCTAACTATATTATATAATGTATTAAAAATCAGAAAAAGTAAAAAAAAAAAAAAAGCGGGCTGGCGGGCTGGCCCGCCACCAGCGGGTTAGCCCGCGGCAGAGCGGGCCAAAAGCGGTGCGGGCTAGAGTAGCCCGCACCGTGACGGGCTAGGAAAACATCAACCCAAACCCACCTTTTTTGGCGGGCTGGCGGGCTGGGCCCGCGAGCCCAGCCCGTATTACCGGCTCTCGGGAGTGCAGGCGTAAACGACATCAGTATAAAAGCACGGTGCGGCGCCTGGGGGGGCAAAAATGGATTTCTCCTCACGCCACATCCTAATAGATAATAGATATTCCCGGCTGGAGCCACCTTGAACCCCCGCCTTTGCTGCGTCGACTTGACATGCTTTGCACATTGGACACGCTAGCTTGAGCCCCTGATAACAAGCGCTTGCAAGTCGACGATAGGAGGAGATGGCTCTGCTTCACCTCCCAAGGCTTCGTTTTTCCATGCTAACCTCGTCGCATTCTCTCTCTTCCCACTTCAATCCCTTCACAAGCCACAAATTTCCCTGCAAAAATACCTTCTTTATCAACACTTGCACAGTCTTTCCTGCACCCAAATCCACCCTCACCACCTCCGAACCCATACCTATTAGTCACTTCCCAGAAACTCCGGTTGAGGACCACATAGAATTTTCACTAGAGAAGCTTTTTGTGCCCCCTGAGACCGATGTCTCGAGCGATAGTGCTAACTTGAGCACTAGAATTTTGAAGGGCTCTAACATTGTGCTTAGCAAGTACGCCAGGGATGCACAGGTATTGCAAGCTGAATTTGTCAAAAGCAGTGTAAGAACTGAGGATTGCCCTTCTGATGGGCTTCCCGAATTTGCGCTTGTTGGACGATCCAACGTGGGAAAATCTTCATTGCTCAATTCGCTTGTGCGGCGCAAGAAGTTGGCGCTAACATCAAAGAAACCCGGTCAGTGGTTAATGCACTGCTCCGTTTCAAGTTCTTGTGCTAGTAAATGTTTCACTGCTTGCTTACTGAGCAAACAGAACATGAATCTTTGTGTTTTTATATTAAAAAAATTCAGCTTAAAACTGTTTGAAGTCGGCTAGGAAGAGAACTGAATGGCTGAGTTGATGATGAAAGAATCTGTGCTAAATTCACAATCAATTTACTGACCAGCATATTTGTTTTGAATTGTACAAACCCGAATTTGTTCGAGGAATTTTCACTTTTGTGGGAGTATATTTCATGTTCTAGGGGAGCGGGTTTTCAAGAATCCCAAGTTTTCCATTCTGTGGCGTAGTGCACGAACTGATGAATATTTTCTATGATTATCGTTAGGTTGCTGTGCTGAAAGTAAAATTTTGTGGACTCCCATGATTGACATGCAGGTTTTCATTAAGGTTTTTTTATGGAAATATTTGGATTCTTTGTGTGATTATTTCCTGGAGATTAAGTGAATCTTGGTCTGATGTTCAAGTGAATTTTTTGATAATACCATCTCTGTCCATCAGCAGTCATATTCGCAATGATGCTCTCTTCGTTGTGTTCAAAGATTGGACATGATTTATTTGGAAAAATAAAACCTTTCGTTCTGTGATTTATAGGCATGAAGAAGAAATCAGAACTGTCTACTTGATTAGATAGTACAGAGGATTTAGATAACGCATGTCGTAATAAGATGTTCAAACCATTATATGCGTGATATTCTGTCATTGTTCGTATTGAGAGTATTAAAATTGGCCATTTAATAAAATCCCTCCGACCCGAAAATTGGCCATGTAATGTGCAAATTATCTAAACTGAAGGCTTAGCATCGACATGAACTTGAATCATTAATTTTGTTAAGGTGGATGAAAATGAGAATTTTGAACTTGTTGGTAATTGACTTTTGTCTGGAACATGCGCCTACTAACGTTCCCCACTCTTTGATCAATTTTTGTAGGTAAGACACAGTGCATTAACCATTTTCGGATCAATGATAGCTGGTATCTGGTTGATTTGCCTGGATATGGGTATGGCTTACTTCCATATATGCGCTTCCTCCATACTTTCTATGCTAAAGATTGCAGTCGTTTACTATATGCGGTTGTGATGGTCACTGATATATGTATGATAGGGACAAATTAATATGATTCCTGAACAGCATTGAGTGTGCTAGACTCTGGGCAGAATGATCTCTGAGTTCTTACAGCTCACTGGTTTATGGTTGATCGAATAATATACTTTTGATCTCTCTAGTCTGTCTAGCCTGGCAAATGTACCAATTTGGTCAGCCTTGATTCATATTGCTGTATGTCGGCCTCATAGTTCTCACATTGTTACAATCAAGTTCCCTTCTTTATCGCTTGTGTCATTGTGAATGGATAATGTAAATATAGCACTAAAACATCCGCATTCTGGTGACATGACACTGATCTGCATTAATTTAGGCCATTCTACTGCATGCACGGGATCTCGAGTCTGCACCATGTCATCCTTTTTTGTTTCTTTTTTTTCTTTTTTGGGGTCAAATGCACCCCGTCATTCAAGCAAACATCTTTGTTTGTACTATTTCTTCTAGACTTGAACTAATGAAAACATTAATCCCATTCAGGTGCTCTTATATATACTATTCACGTAGCTGGAGATAACTATAAGCCATTTTGTTCTACTGTATAGGTATGCTGCTGCTCCTCAAGAGCTTAGAACAGATTGGGCAAAGTTCACTAAGGATTATTTCCTTAACCGATCAGCTTTAGTTTCAGTATTCCTTCTAATTGATGCTAGCATCCCTGCAAAACAAATTGATCTTGAGTATGCCAGTTGGTTGGGTCAGAATCAGGTATGTATCTGTCTTCCTTCACTGATCAAATGAATGAAGAATTAGTGAAGCTAGATGCACTATGTCGGCCATTAAACCTGTAGATGCTCTCAACTCCCCCCCCCCCCAATGAATGCTGAGTACTTCCAAAACCTGATGGGCATAGCTTGACCTTATTGCTTTGTTTTGCTCATCTTCATCTCCCTTCCTTTAGTTATTTGGATCCCACCACAGGCGATACATGTTTCTGGGTAGAATTTGTGTGTGCAAATAGTTGACCACTACATATGAGCCACTTCCATTGCCTGTCATGCTGAGAGCATCACATTCAGACTTTGATATGCATGCTAAAATACCTCTCTCACTTGTTGTATTTTTCATGACATCTATTAGAGGTCTTGCTTTGCTTTGCTGCTACTGTATATGTGGGGGGAATGGCAAATATAAGAGCCCGGCTATGATATTTTATTGAGTAGAGCAATCTAAGTGGGTTAATACTAGCCGTGCCATCTTTGTTTCAGATTCCGATGACATTAATCTTCACCAAATGTGACAAGCGAAAGAAGAAAAAGAATGGAGGCAAAAGACCAGAAGAAAATGTAAACGATTTTCAGGAGTTGATTCGCGGTTTCTTCCAGACAGTGCCCCCTTGGATAATGACTAGCAGTGTCACTAATCAGGGCCGTGATGAAATACTACTCCATATGGCCCAGCTACGAAATTACTGGCTCAAGCACTAGGTGCATCAATCTTTGCCCCATCTTCTTCGTGCCAACTAGTCAGAGACTCAACATACCTGGATTTAAGTTCTGATGTCAACCAAATCTCGTGTGTCTACTCATAGGAAAATGGATTCAAATTGAAATATCTCTCCAGTCCTAAACACAAGACCCATTTTGTAGTGTAAATACACTACAAAATGGGTCTTATATCTAGGATTACACTACAAAATGGGTCTTATGTTTAGAACCGGAGAGTAACATGTGATATTGTATCAAGGAGTAACTGAAATGCATTTAAGAAAGCCACACAAAAGGATTAAACATTTTTATGATTTTTCCTTGCAGATAGTCATGTAGAACGTCATGTTTCTGAACGTAAATGCTATGGACTATGGAGGGAGGTTCCCGGCCTATTCATGCATTGGCGAATAATTACTGTAATGACCAGGCACCTTCAGGTCCTGTTCAACTGACAGGGAGGTTAGACACAGAAACGTTGGAGCCAAGTTTGTTCCTTGAACGGAGGGCCTTTTCAGCGACACGATTTCCAGCTCTATTTTTTTCTCTCTCTCACAATACCAGATATATACGTATTGTAAGTTCTAATTTCCAAGGTTGAGAAATTCAGATGGATGGGATTTTATATCAGGAACTGAGTCCACTCCCGATACTAATAAATGAAGAAGAAAAATAATCGTTGGCAAAAAAAAAAAAACAGAAGAAAAATAATCAAATGTGGAATCTGATGGCTAACATCGATTATGCAATGATCTAAATGTTGTTTAGGACGATAATTCCAGAAATAAACTAAAGCAAGACATTTTGAAATGCTGAGGAGGCAGGCTTGGTACCTGGATTACCAGCACAAGTCGTAGCATATAACCAACCATCCGGGGATATAATTTGAAGGGGCTCTGGGACTTGAAGGAATGTGTTGTTGTTGTTATTATTATTATTAGTTGAACAAAATTAGAGTTGCACATCCATAATGGTCCGATTGGAAAGTATAATTTCGGGGCCGTATATATTTTTACGGTCCCACGTTACAAGCACTGACTGAACCTAATATCATTTGGTCAAAAAGAAAAAAGACCGAACCGAACGTCGGCTTGATTAATTAAGTTGCAAGAAACTAGGCCTGTCAGATGAAAGGCAGAACAAGATTATATAGGGCCTGCTCATAACTCAACAATCCCAAAGGCCCATGGCCGAGAATTCCACTAGCCCATAGTACTCTCCCTGAACTGGAACTTATATGGTGGGGTTGGAAGAGTCAGTTTTATCAACTTTATAAAAATAATAGCCAATCCCTCGCCGTCGCGGGGATAGCTCAGTTGGGAGAGCGTCAGACTGAAGATCTGAAGGTCGCGTGTTCGATCCACGCTCACCGCATGGTATATTTTGTCCTGCTTTTGTCTGCTTTTTGGGTTTTCCCTTTGAAAAAAAAAGAGAACTTTTAGAATGTAGGCTAGCTAGCCCACCCACAATTTTCCTACGCAAACCCGTACCCCACCCGCCCAGTTGATCTTGGATTTGGTGGAATAATGATGATAAATTGGTGAAGGGAGCTAAAAGCAAAACAGAACATGGAGTGTACGAAGCAGCAGCTAGGTAGCGAATTGGGAGTAAGAGAGGTTAAATAATAGGAGATGGTACAATGAGCTCGATAGGTGATATAGACTGCCCCCAGTAGGTTTTAAAGGAAAATATTGCATGCTCGTCTTTTCACTTTTGAGATCACCACGCCTCACTCACAGTAGTACTTCAATCGACATTACTGCTGCATATTCGTAAAGATTCACTGTCTGCAGTACCAACTCATATATATATAAAAGATATGTATAATTCCATTTAATTTAAGACTACTATACCCTTCTTTTCCATCAGCATTAATGTCTCCACACACTCCAAATCGTGATCTATATAAACGGAAGCCTTAACTATTTACCTGCTCTCTTGTAGTACATCACGCTCCCTCTATCCTTAGATCATGCTTTTTATTCCCTCTCTCTCTTCTCATTCAAAACCTAATCAGCTAACCAGTTACTATATATATTGTTGGAGGGCCCATTTTGTGTGTGAAGGAAACCTGCTGTGTAGGAGGGTGGTGGTGTCTTGAGTGTTGTGATTTCTAAACGAGGTAGCACCCATCACCAGTACAGAGCTAAACATATTTCAAAAGTGAGGGAGAGAAAAGATGAAGCTTCTTTTTGCTTGTTTAGGTCAAGATGGGAAGTGTATCTATCATGGAAGTTTAAATCAGATACTAGATATCAGTTTCGGTCTGCAGATTAATTAAAAAGCATATTCAAGGCCTCACTTTAATCACTATATATACAAATACAAAGCAACAAGCGAGTACGCGAGGCTTTATATATGGGGATATAGATTTTGATTGAGAACCTCATGGTGGGTCCTCCACTCAAGCTATAACATAATACAGTTGTGTGTGCAATGACTATATATATATATATATATATAATGTTTTCTAATTAAGTGAAAAGAGGAGTGGTTGAGACTGCCATGTTCTTCTCTTAAATGTTCAAATACATGCAAGACTCGGAAAAACCACAGTGACATGGATGTAAATATTAACTACAGTACTGCAGCTTTAATTAATAGCTTTTCAATTGCCATGTTAGAACTATTTCACAATATCTAGATATCTATCCATGCGTAAATAGCTGGGCGCGCGCACCTGATATCTTTTTGTGCGCAAATGTTTATCCCAGTTAAGTTTAGACGACTACAACAGTAAAAAGTTGTAATTAAAATGGCCGGTGGGATTTAGTTACAACAGTGGGTCAAATCAAATCCGAGCATGCATAGATATCCTCCAACAACCAAGACACAAGTTCACTTGAAAACTCAGAGGCGTCAACTTCATAAAGCACAATAATAGATTTCGTAATGGAAACAAATAATTGATCTGTCTCTCTCTCGAGGAAAATAATGATTAAATAGGCGTCGACTTTATTGCATGTAATGTATATAATGGAGTTACGGAGATATGGCCTTGCTTTGGCAGACTTTCCAATGAACGAGAAAACAATCATTCCAACCCCTTCCGTACGTCTTCTCTCGATCTTTCTCAGTTTATCTTCAGCAAAACACGTGTTTGATCAATAATAATGAACTATGCTGCACATATAATCTGGCGAATTAACACGCGTATACGCGAAATTAAATGAAAGAGAAAATAAGAAAAGATGGTCCGCGTAGATAGTGATGACAGTATGAAGCTAGCATTTATCAAATGGACCACAAAAAATTGAAGGCAGTTAAGGTCATGAAAGCATATTATGATGAGGGTTCTGAGGAATTCTGATTAAACAGGTTAGTCGCCATGTGCGCTGTGTGTACCTTCCTTATGAATTGCCCTATCATCATATTGTGGACATTATCTACCTTATAGCTAGCTTGGACCACATTTTATATATATATATAGATGTATAGTTGTTGTTCTTCCCAAGTGCCATATAAATATACATGCTTTATCGTGCTTTTTATGTTCAATGAATTGACCTCTCTTGCTCGACATTGTGCATATATCATAAACATTAGTCAATTCCCTCTAAGATTTAAAGCAAATTGATGGGGCCTCGACATTTGTACTTAGCTTATATAATTTCTGTCTTCTTTCATTGGTCATCTCTCCTCTCTCTCTCTCTCTCTCTCTCTCTCTCTCTATTTTAAGTACACATTTCTAAATCACAGTCCTTATCAAGATCTCTTAATGCGTTATGATTTAGATAATGGCTTTCAAAACCCATCATATATTTAATTGTTTTGTAAGTCTTGTAGGCTTCTGCCTTCCAGCTTTGTTTTGCCCCAAAAATAATAGAGGAGGCACTGCCTTCAATCCTAAATACGAGATGTAAATTGCAACGGTATCATGCGATAACAGGATGCATCCTAGGCCATGGCAGCGAGAAAGTAAGAATGTTAGGTTTCGCATGTTAATAACTTAGATTCCTTGCTAAATTTTCAAATGTTAAAGAAGTTTACATTAACTACTTACATTTAAAAAAAAAAAAATTGCGTTGCTTTTACAGTGTGAATGAGAATGTAATAGAAAATTCTGAAAGGTCAAGAGCAATTAATTATCCATATATCATCCTTTCTTAATGTTTGTGCTTTTTTCATGCTTCAATTAATTACCGTAAAAAGATAAAGATGTAATAACGGTACAACCATATATCAAAAGGCTATCTTACTCAAATTATGTAATGTGGGATGGGACTATGATGGGAACTAGATTCTTCTGATTAGAATATGTGATATACACTAGTGCTAAACGTTATATATCCAATCTAGCACACGCCATATCTAATATACACTAGAGGATTTGAGTTAGATTGGCTATTTTCTTCAAACGGGATGGGTTTTGAGTTGGGCTATTCAGGAAATGTACAAACACTGAATTAGAATTTGGAAGGGAGATGTGACTATGGCTAATTGAAGTTGATTGAAAGTGAGTTATACGTATGGGTTCTGCAACTTTTTCCTTCACCCAATATATGTTGTGGTTAATTTGATTTAGTTGGACTTAATTAATTACATGAAAGAGAAAAAAAATTGGCATCTCCATCCTCAGGCTCCATCGTTACAAATAGTATAAGATTATACCATTTTAAGTTATTTGAATTTGATCGACGAGACCACTTAATTATCATTTTCATGTCATAATAATTCAGCCGTAGTGAGGGGATGAATATATATGACGCTACTGTCCAGTCATAGTAAGGGAATAGTTACCTTTTTTTCCCTTTATTATGCGATGATTCTCTAATAATGTTTTCACAATAGTGAAGCTCTTCTTGCAGAGTTTCAAAAACAAAAAATTCATGCCCCATTTTGATTGTCCAAATTTTTGTATGACGGTGAAAATGTGAATGACGATAGGAATGGGCAATTGTTGGAATGGAATTATTATGTATGGTGTTTTGTGGGAAAAAATGCTTTTTTTTTACTTTATATCTGCATTTGGGTTTTTCATAAATTATAGAAGAATGGAAAGCAAAGTTGATCAAATAATGAGCAGAATACTCGGAGCAAATAATGTAGGAAAATTATTCATAGTTATAATTAATCATCTAATTAGCAACATCTTGTCTGCATATATTATTGATTAAAAAATTATTTGTAATTATTGAATTTGTAAAATCATCTTTCAATTGCAGCAGGATAATATTTCTTTTCTCGACCGAGCAGAATAATATTTCTCTTTAATAATTAAGATCAATAACGGTATTATAATATTTCAGCTTTCAATCCCAAAAAATAAATCCCTTAATTCCACGGAAGGACAATGACCAACCTCAAACATGAGGGAATGAGCTATTCGGTTTGCCTTTTTTTCAACCCAATAATCGACCATCCATATATAAAATCTATTATCATTATATTGTATATTGCAGGCAACCAAAACCTTAAAGAGTACGAAAAAAGTGTGCATGATTTTTTAATTATTTTTCTTCTTGCAATTTTCAAACTCAAATAACTTTGCAGTACCAAAAAAAATCTGAAGATATAAATTCACTCATACTTGCTTTAAATTTCGAGAGGAAAAAAATTGAGCATGAAAGGTAAAGTTGCCTAGATGGGCGGTTTAAACTTTATGTGCTGCTTTTGTGAAAGGGGATGCTAATT